AGACGGCATATCCCGTCATAATAGAATAGGTACAGCGCGTACAGCATTGACCGAATGTTGTAGACGGCAGCATCCGCCGAAATAGACAAGGTACAGCGTGTATAAGAAACAGAAACACTCTGTACCGGATGTTGTAGACGGATGCATCCGTCGTAAAAGACTAGGCTCAGCGTGTATACCATACAGGGTCAGCATGAACCGGATGTTGTAGACGGCAGCACCCGTCATGGTAGACTAGGTACACCGTCGAACAGAAACATTCTGTACCGGATGTTGTAGAAGGAAGCACCCGTCATGGTATACTAGGTACAGCGTGTATACCATACAGGGTCAGCATGAACCGGATGTTGTAGAGGGATGCATCCGTCGTAAAAGACTAGGAACATCGTGTAGAACAAACAGGGTCAGCATGCACCGGATGTTGTAGAGGGATGCATCCGTCGTAAAAGACTAGGCTCTAGACGGCAGCACCCGTCATGGGATACTAGGTACAGCGTGTATGCCATACAGGGTCAGCATGAACCGGAAGTTGTAGGCAGCACCCGGCGTAAAAGACTAGGAACATCGTGTAGAACAAACAGGGTCAGCATGCACCGGATGTTGTAGACGGCAGCACCCGATATTATAGACAAGGTACAGCGTGTACAAAAAACAGGGTCAGCATGAACTGGATGTTGTAGGCAGCACCCGTCGTAAAAGACTAGGAATATCGTGTACAACAAAGAGGGTCAGCAAAAACCGGATGTTGTAGGTGGTAGCACCCGTCATAATAGACTAGGAACAGCGTGTATACCATACAGGGTCAGCATGAACCGGATGTTGTAGACGGCAGCACCCGTCATGGTAGACTAGGTACAGCGTGTATAACATACACGGTCAGCATGAACCGGATGTTGTAGACGGCAGCACCCGTCATAATAGATTAGGTACAGCGTGTATACCATACAGGTTCAGCATGAACCGGATGTTGTAGACGGCAGCACCCGTCGTAATAGACTAGGTACAGCTTGAACATTAATACAGGACTACCATGAGCCGGATATACATGCGATACAAGAATATATACACAACAATACAAATAGGAACGTTCGGTGTAAGTGGTTTCTGTAGCTGCTATCGATGTTACCGTGTCGAACACCGAGAGATAACAGTAACTGTGTGTGCGATCTCTATACGATGGCTAGCATAAGGAAGTTTACATGTCTCTCCTTACTCGCTGTCCGCCCACAATCAACCTATACCTAGTTCTATCCGAGATTACGCTGATTACATCAATTTCGTTTGTAATTTCCTCGATGTTATGCAAATCTCAACAATAGCCTGTAGGAACAGATTTAACAATATATAAACATAGCATATCGATTTTGAATAAATTTTGAAATTTTGAAATTATTATCATTTTTATCTGTCGCGTTAATTGCCGCCAGATGTTTAACGTCTTGTCATCAGATCGACATAACTTGGTCTGGGCGATAATATACATCGTATGTATAATACATGTACATTGTAGATTGGTTAATATCAAATCAGTGTCTTGTATATATATATATATATACATACACATCTCCCTATTCATGTATATAATGCATACATTATATACATACACACACATACATATACTAATCTTTGTGGACGAACATGTATAGAATATGTCGCTATCTATTATTCATTTCATCAATCTGAATAACCAGATGTGTGTATACATAAACAAAAACCAACAACAGCTGTTTGACCAGGTATGGCGTTGTTACAGCCTCAGGACGATGACCAAATGATGTATTAGATATTATAAACACGTGCACCAATTTAGCACGGAGCTGTAGTTACCACGGGACTATGACCGTCATAACAGTCATTCGAAAAACCAAGATATCTTATGACAAAAAATACCAGACGTATTCTATAGTTAATGAGCTTAGAACTTTGACCAGATTACCGTTAGATTATCAGTGGAATCAGGTTACGACAAAGACCCAAATTAGCAAATGAACCTGCCCATCAGGCCATATTAATAGGCTATCAGGACGAACCAATACGAACATATTAGAGTACAGATCAGATTACGAGGGAGGCAGAATAGTACTGGGAATATATTAGCACAGGGCATACTATCAGTGCGGATACTCTAACCAAGCTGACCATGCTGTCTGGAAGCCCTAGATTCCAGTAGGGCAAACAGAGTTCAACTCACATGATTTCTCACTCCTGCTAACTAAAACGTTTTCAAATCAATATATATATGAATATGGGAGCGGATGGTATCGGAGTGTAGGCATGGCCCTCCCTTCCTCCCTCGGATTTCGCCACCACCGCACAAGCTCGCATGTATTCACACACGTTTACAGCCCATCATGGTCGGGATTCACAATCACGTCGAAAATCAATACGCAAGACTTTCATCTACAAATACATAAGCGCACCAATATCTAATTGGCAAGGGCCAAGTAGAGGGGCGTATTGTGGAGTGATCACTTCATCCGTAATGGCCTCTTCATCAAGTTTTTGCACAAACTCGTCGTAATATGGCGTCGTAGGGTGAACAAGGGGCCGTCTCCTATTGAGGGCTAGTCAGGCAAGCTGTCTGCTTGTTCTTGAATCCTCTTTTGTCATTGATTAAATATTGTATAAAACAAGTTGTCATTTCGATAAAAAAAAAGTTCAAATATATGATGGTGTGTAGAAGGAGACATGGAATCATGGTACATTTTCAATTTTCAATTTTAATTTTACTTAATGAAAATATTATTACAACGTCTAAGAATAAAATATCGTTTTTTGAATGATTTTGAGCTTCTACAGAATCAATGAGAAATAAAAACAACAAGTCATCAAATTCTATGTTTTCAATAAGATATCTCAAACAATGAGCTTAGTATATATGAAAAATGTCATGAAATCAGGTCAATGGTTAATGTTACATCTGTAGCAATGCAATGCCAATGTAAAATCTCCAGGTCAAAAGTAATTCTCATCGATAAAATATCAAAGAATCTCAGAGCAATTTCATAAGCAATTTCCTAAAACAATAAAACATCTATAGGATTTTTTCTTCAAGACAATGTTAACGGGGATTCCCTAGTAGTAAATCGTCAATGACAAATATCCACACATAAAATCATCACTGGGGAACATTAAGCAATACAAACTATAGGAAAATCTCGGGCTACAAAAAGGCAACGAGAAATCTATTATAAGATATTAACACGATAAATCTTGAGCAATAAAAGTCAATTAGAAATTTAGAAATTTCAGTTAGATCGTCAACGGTCAATTGGAAGTTTTAAGCAAACTTAACGTTTAATGGAAAATCTTAGTCAATAAATCGTCTATCGGAAATCTCAAGCAATGGAATGTCAAACAGAAATATCAAGCAATTAAACGCCAGGGAGATATCTCAAGCAGTAATACGTCAAGGTGAAATATCAAAATATAAATATAAATCTATATAATATTGATGAAGTATATATATATTGAAGTTCAAGATATAAACATGACCTAGGGAATTACGGAAAATAAAACGCTATTTAAGCTGTCAATTAGCAATGGGAAAATCTATCGGTCAGTTGAATCCCAAGCCATACGAATGCCAATGAGGTCAATCAATATAACGACAAAAGAAAATCATAATCAATCAATAACGTATAGGAGCTTTTAAGTATAAAATATCAATGGGAAATCTTAACCAATACAATTTCACTGAGAAATCTCACGAATTGCGATCGCCCAGATGATGAAAGGCTGTGCCACGGAAATGGCGGACCCGTTACCAGACTGCCTGTGTACGACCTGGCAGTATACTGTAGCATTAACCACTCTAGTGCTTCAAACACACCGCTTGACTTTCACTTAATAAATCAACATCTCGTTCTAACTTATAGTTAGTTTCCTAGTAGGAAAGCGAGTTTCTATTTTCCTGCTATATGCTCATTCTCAGAAATACAAATAGTATTCTCAAAATATATTGTATTAAATAACATATAAATGTTGTTTATAGAAAACAAATCCTTGTCAGAAATAAAACTACTTAGTTCGAATTCAGAGTCTTATGCTTCACAAATTTGCACACGTTGCACTCATAGAACTTATGGATAAACTTAAATTTAACATGGTGGAACCCGTTGTATTGAACAAAACATTGGTGAAGTTCATATACAAACTATTTGTAGATTTATCACTGTTGCAATTTTATTTGTTTTACGCGGCATAATGTTTTAAGTAGACTTAAATTGGGCATCGTAGATCATGTCAAGAATTAACAAGTAAATCTTATAAGAGTTGTTCCCATATGTGCAAGCGCGGAAATCGTTTTCTCATCTGTTGTGTCAAACAGTGTGATAAATATAGTTTCTTCTTCAATCGGAGATCAGTACTTTAAAACCACGACCGGAATGTATCCGTTCCTACACAAATAAACCACAATGCTAGACCCGGACTGACGAGTTTCAGAGATCTTGAATTAGTGCTCAGACAACATAGGCGAGTGTTTGGCTTGCCTCTCGGTGCTATACAGAGATCGATGAAACGCGAGTTTGCAATCACAGCACGTAGGGACTGGATTGTCAGCCATCCCTCCTGTGCTCCCCCCCTCCCCGAGTGTCAGGGACACAAAACAAGTCCCTTTCCCTGATCCACTGTCCCCAGACTCTTACATCGCGCTGACAATCAGTTACACAAGTCAGCTTTTTCCCTATGCATTGAACTGTCTATCATCGATGTGTGTTTCAAGTAAAATGGCATCAATAGAGCTCTAGCGTTAACTAAATATGTCAATAGACAGAACAGATTAGAAAGGTTTTGTGTGTGTTTTTTTGGTTGTCTCAAAACACAATGAGTGTTATAATTATACTTTAAGGAAGCACACTGAGGAATGACGGAGATCCGGTCGGAAGTACCAACAGCTCGCAAGCAAGGATATATATACACACACAGTATTGTAGACGCCTAGTGTTTAACACCACATACACATATAGATGAATGAAAATTAGAACATAAACGTTTACCTTATGAACATCTCGACTCCTGTGGATTCCATACACCTTTTGATGCCCTTCCATGATTTTTTAAGCTTGAACACCTGTCTAACGTCCAGCGGTAGCCGTGGATCCGTGGGAGCTGGCGGAGCAGGCTCCGGTAACTTATCCGCCATTGCCTCCTCTGGATCTGCCGTTAGTGACCTCGTATTGGTTTCAGGCGCAGACTGCTTACATCCCATAATTGTAATATTTCTCTGACTCCACGTGCAGCGTGACGTAGCCACTAACGATTATCGCGGCAAAATCGATAGCAAGTGAATTACATATCTTTACTAAAAATTAACAGACATTAGGTGGTGTTGACACACCAGAGGTAGGGGCATGGTGTCTGTGGTCAAGGCATGCAGGTGACGTTAATTCTAGAAGGCGCAAAAAGATGAGGTTCTCGATGAGGTGATGAGGTAGGTAAACTCGGACCGCACTCCGTTACACTATATCGCCGACACAATCTGGAAAGCAAAGTAAACAAAACTTATTTAAAGAGAAACTACTTTATTACAATCAATATGCAAGCTTAGCAGTTTTATTGGATTAACCAGTGATGTGATATGGGGGCCTTTGTAGCTTATTTACACTATTCAAATATTGAATCTCAGCGGCGTGCTTGTAATAGAATTAAAGTGTCATGTTTGATATCAAAATGTCAAAGCACGTGTAAGGATGAATGATGTAGTTTCCAGCGAAAAATACAAGTGTACTGTATGTAACCAGAAGCGATCTCTTCCCGGGTGTAATGTAAGAGTATCGGAAATAATGTCTGGATAAATATCGACACTGTTAGGGGGACATTCCGGACGAGGGAGGAGTGTAAATGAGGCAGTATTAGGGAATCTGATTTTGCGAATTTTAATATACCACATGCATTGTACAAAGTACCTGACCTAGGCCTATTTATCTCTAATAAAGCATTACCATACAGCCAACCGAGCGACCACGTGATGTATATGATAACTTTAAACAGAAAATGGCGAGCGATGTTAGGGAACAAGTGACAAACATTTTGACCATTTTTAAATTCTTCAACACATTGATGTGTGTATCTAATTAAGTAAAGTAAGCTATATAAATGAGATACCACACAATCAAGAGCATATGCATAATTATAGTGAGTCATTCGGACTTACATTTAAGTATAGCATTAATAGAGTAAATGAAGAGTATAACGGGGCTTAAGTCAGGACCTTAACATCAGTGATGTAGTATAGTATAACACAAGAGGGGTAAGGTGAGGAGGGGAGGGGAGGGGAGGGGAGGGTATGTGCGTGTGTGTGTGTGTGTGTGTGTGTGTGTGAGTGAGTGAGGGGCATTTAAGGGAACAGGGAAAGGCATGATATAAATCCGGTAGGTTCAGGCGTACATAATTTACATGTATTTCATGCATTTCTCTGTTTTAGTGAGATCAAAGGTGTTCATTTCAAGTATTGTATAATTTGACGCGATTTATAGATATATTACTGAACAACTTTTGAATTTTGAAATTTGAAACACGCATTAGTTTAGGAAATGCTGAATCGGAATGAATATATGGAAATTTTACATTAAAAATTTGGAAATTAAATTCAACAATGAAAATTTCAAGAAAAAAAGATTGACAGTTTAAATATGAAATGGATAAACGGTTTCACATAGAAAATGAGTGGGTACGTGAAACATAACAAACAGTCGTTTACTATGAAAATAGGGGTACTTACGTTGGTAATGTTTCGTATTGTTTAATATGAGAATAGGGATGTGTACGTGGAGGACGTATTACAGTGTTTACTATAAGAATAAGGGTGGGTACGTGGATGATGTATTACAGTGTATACTATGAGAATAAGGGTGGGTACGTGGATGATGTATTACAGTGTTTACTATGAGAATAAGGGTGGGTACGTGGATGATGTATTACAGTGTTTACTATGAGAAAAAGGGTGGGTACGTGGATGACGTATTACAGGGTTTACTATGAGAATAAGGGTGGGTACATGGAGGATGTATTACAGTGTTTACTATGCGAAAAAGGGTGGGTACGTGGATGATGTATTACAGGGTTTACTATGAGAATAATGGGTGGGTACATGGAGGATGTATTTCAGTGTTTACTATGCGAAAAAAGGTGGGTACGTGGATGATGTATCACAGTGTTTACTATGAGAAAAAGGGCGGGTACGTGGATGATGTATTAGTTGATGATGTATTACAGAGTTTACTATGAGAATAATGGTGGTCACATGGAGGATGTATTACAGTGTTTCCTATGAGAATAAGGCTGAGTACATGGATGATGTATTTCAGTTTTAACTATGAGAAGAAGGTCGGGTACGTTGATGATGGATTAAAGTGTTTACTATGCGAAAAAGGGTGGGTACGTGGAGGATGTATTACAGTGTTTCCTATGAGAATAAGGGTGAGAAAGTGGATGAGGTATTACAGTGTTAACTATGAGAATAAGGTCGGGTACGTTGATGATGGATTAAAGTGTTTACTATGAGAATAAGGGGGGGTACGTGGATGATGTATTAGTTGATGATGTATTACAGGGTTTACTATGAGAATAATGGTGGTCACATGGAGGATGTATTACGTTGTTTACTATGAGAATAATGGTGGTCACATGGAGGATGTATTACAGTGATTACTATCAGAATAAGGGTGGTTACGTGGATGATGTATTACAGTATTTACTATTAGAATAAGGCTGGGTACATTGATGATGTATTCCAGCGTTTACTATGACAATAAGGGTGAGTAAGTGAATGATGTATTACAGTGTTAACTATGAGAATAAGGTCGGGTACGTTGATGATGTATTAAAGTGTTTACTATGCGAAAAAAGGTGGGTACGTGGATGACGTATTACAGGGTTTACTATGCGAATAAGGGTGGGTACGTGGATGACGTATTACAGGGTTTACTATGAGAATAAGTTTGGATACATGGAGGATTTATTACAGTGTTTACTAGGAGAATAAGGCTGGGTACGTGGATGATGGATTACGGTGTTTACTATGAAAATAAGGCTGGGTACATTGATGATGTATTCCAGCGTTTACTATGACAATAAGGGTGAGTAAGTGAATGATGTATTACAGTGTTTCCTATGAGAATAAGGCTGGCTACATGGATGATGTATTTCAGTTTTAACTATGAGAAGAAGGTCGGGTACGTTGATGATGTATTACAGGGTTTACTATGAGAATAATGGGTGGGTACATGGAGGATGTATTAAAGTGTTTACTATGCGAAAAAAGGTGGGTACGTGGATGACGTATTACAGGGTTTACTATGCGAATAAGGGTGAGAAAGTGGATGAGGTATTACAGTGTTAACTATGAGAATAAGGTCGGGTACGTTGATGATGTATTAAAGTGTTTACTATGAGAATAAGTTTGGATACATGGAGGATTTATTACAGTGTTTACTATGCGAAAAAGGGTGGGTACGGGGATGATGTATTACAGTATTTACTATTAGAATAAGGCTGGGTACATGGATGATGAATTACAGTGTTTACTATTAGAATAAGGCTGGGTACATTGATGATGTATTCCAGCGTTTACTATGACAATAAGGGTGAGTAAGTGAATGATGTATTACAGTGTATACTATGAGAATAAGGGGGGGTACGTGGATGATGTATCACAGTGTTTACTATGAGACTATGAGAATAAGGGTGGTTACGTGGATGATGTATTAGTTGATGATGTATTACAGAGTTTACTATGAGAATAAGAGTGAGTACATGGATGATGTATTTCAGTTTTAACTATGAGAAGAAGGTCGGGTACGTTGATGATGGATTAAAGTGTTTACTATGCGAATAAGGGTGGGTACGTGGAGGATGTATTACAGTGATTACTATCAGAATAAGGGTGGTTACGTGGATGATGTATTATAGTGTTTACTATGAGAATCAGGCTGGGTACATGGATGAGGTATTACAGTGATTACTATGAGAATAAGGTTGGATACATGGAGGATTTATTACAGTGTTTACTATTAGAATAAGGCTGGGTACATTGATGATGTATTCCAGCGTTTACTATGACAATAAGGGTGAGTAAGTGAATGATGTATTACAGTGTATACTATGAGAATAAGGGGGGGTACGTGGATGATGTATTACGGTGTTTACTATGAGAATAAGGCTTGGTACATGGATGATGTATTACAGTGTTTACTATGAGAATAAGGCTGGCTACATGGATGATGTATTACAGTGTTTACTATTAGAATAAGGCTGGGTACATGGATGATGTATTACAGTGTTTACTATTAGAATAAGGCTGGGTACATGGATGATGTATTACAGTGTATACTATGAGAATAAGGGCGGGTACGTTGATGATGAATTACAGTGTTTACTATGAGAATAAGGGTGGGTACATGGATGATGTATTACAGTGTTAACTATGAGAATAAGGATGATGTATTACAGTGTTTACTATGAGAATAAGGGGGGGTACGTGGATGATGTATTACGGTGTTTACTATGAGAATAAGGCTGGGTACGTGGATGATGTATTACAGTGTTTACTATGGGAATAAGGGTGGGTACATGGATGATGTATTACAGTGTTAACTATGAGAATAAGGTCGGGTACGTTGATGATGTATTACAGTGTTTACTATGAGAATAAGGTTGGGTTAGTGGATGATGTATTACAGTTTTTACTATGAGAAAAAGGGTGGGTACGTGGATGATGTATTACAGTGTTTACTATGAGAAAAAGGGTGGGTGCGTGGATGATGTATTACAGGGTTTACTATGAGAATAAGGGTGGGTACATGGAGGATGTATTACAATGTTTACTATGAGAAAAAGGGTGGGTACGTGGATGATGTATTACAGGGTTTACTATGAGAATAAGGGTGAGTACATGGATGATGTATTACAGTGTTTACTATGAGAATAAGGTTGGGTAAGTGGATGATGTATTACAGTGGTTACTATGAGAATAAGGGTGGGTACGTGGATGATGTATTACAGTGATTACTATGAGAATAAGGCTGGGTACATGGATGATGTATTACAGTGTTTACTATGAAAAAAAGGGTGAGTACGTGGATAATGTATTACAGTGTTTACTATCAGAATAAGGGTGGGTAGGTGGATGATGTATTACAGTGTATACTATGAGAATAAGGGCGGGTACGTTGATGATGTATTACAGTGTTTACTAAGAGAATAAGGGTGGGTACGTGGATGATGTATTACAGTGATTACTATGAGAATAAGGCTGGGTACATGGATGATGTATTACAGTGTTTACTATGAGAATAAAGGTGGGTACGTGGATGATGTATTACAGTGTATACTATGAGAATAAGGGTGGGTACGTGGATGATGTATTACAGTGTATACTATGAGAATAAGGTTGGGTAAGTATACTATGAGAATAAGGGCGGGTACGTTGATGATGTATTACAGTGTTTACTAAGAGAATAAGGGTGGGTACGTGGATGATGTATTACAGTGTTTACTATGACAATAAGGGTGGGTACGTGGATGATGTATTACAGTGATTACTATGAGAATAAGGCTGGGTACATGGATGATGTATTACAGTGTATACTATGAGAATAAGGGTGGGTACGTGGATGATGTATTACAGTGTATACTATGAGAATAAGGTTGGGTAAGTGGATGATGTATTACAGTGTATACTATGAGAATAAGGGTGGGTACGGGGATGATGTATTACAGTGTTTACTATGAGAATAAGGGTGGGTACGTGGATGATGTATTACAGTGTTTACTATGAGAATAAAGGTGGGTACGTGGATGATGTATTACAGTGTATATTATGAGAATAAGGGTGGGTACCTGGATGATGTATTACAGGGTTTACTATGAGAATAAGGTTGGGTAAGTGGATGATGTATTACAGTGCTTACTATGCAAATAGGGTTGGGTTCGTGGATGATGTATTACAGTGTTTACTATGAGAATAAGGGTGGGTAAGTGGATGATGTATTACAGTGCTTACTATGCGAATAGGGTTTGGTTCGTGGATGATGTATTACAGTGTTTACTATGAGAATAAGGGTAGGTACATGGAGGATTTATTACAGTGTTTACTATGAGAATAAGGGTAGGTACGTGGGGGTGTACAGTCAAATAGTATTTATTTACTATGAGCAGAGATGGTAACCTTGGTTGAGTTGTCCAATTCATAATGTGACGTAACATTGATTTTATTTCACACTTTATTAATGATAAAGAGCAGACTAATTCTATAAATTGTGAATACGCTATTATGGAAATGCATGATTTTTTAAGAAATATTAATTGATTTCAGATTTAAACAAGGAAATTTATCGCTTTTCATTATAAAAGATTAAGCGAGCACCACTCGAAACAAACAATAAAATTAGCCAATTATTCAGTTGTATGGCGTAATATCAATATGGATGAGATGAAAACAAACACATTTATTTTTAATAATTCATGTCTATATAAATTATTTATAAGGTATCACCGGTCTTTACGTATGATTCATTTATAATTTGACACAATTCTGGTTTATATTACAATAAGACCATCCATTTGTAATAGGAAACAAGCTGAAATTCTATTCTCAGCGAAAAATTATGAATAAACAGTCTCAGTTTACAATACGGCACAGGCAGAATAACTTATTTTTGTTCCTACTATATTTCCATACCGACTGGCCCTATACCGCCGGCTCGTCGATCGATAGAACTGTTATCAGCAATACTGTAAACAAAAACAAAACCATATATAATCATAATGATAGGTTAATAGACAAATAAAAAGCTTATACATTAATTTACTTGGTCATAAAAATACTTCATTGTTTTTGTGTTCACCCTGAAGTTTTATAAATTTCTCGGCTTAACTGGTGGTATTTGCATGCACAATGATGGACTAGACGTTGGCTTAATTTACCAATTTCTCTGTGTTTGCTTCCTTTCAATACGTTTGATAAGTCGACAGAAATTGTCTTTTCTGATATTAGTAACACACAAAGCCGTAAATCATAACAAAGCTATTTCAGCCAGGGGTTCAGGTTGATATCTCGAATCTTCGTTAGTTCCCATCAGACTTGACGTCATGAACAAGCAACAGTTTTGAACTGTTTCATTCAAGACAATAAAGTTCCAAATTGTTGAATCATTCTGACCGTTTTGAATGCGTACCGTATACGTCAGGTTTGTTTGTTTGTTTGGTGTTCATGGCCATATGAAAACGGGTGCCTACGACGGATACGCCATAGAAAGGAAAGAACAAGGAGGTGGGTCGGGACAAAAAGGTTACGTTGTATAAGAAACCCTGATGGAGCTCTCAGTATATGATTATACACATAGTATACGTAGGGAGGGTTCTTAATGCAACTATCGATCCATGTTAACCTCTATGGCTCTGGTTATGTTTCGTGAAACACTGAGGCAACCCCAATAGTATCTCGCGTGACACATAAATCAAACCAATGTCTTGCTCGACACAAAGGTAGCCCCACGCTTGTCTCGTGCGACACTGAGGTAACCCCATTACTGTTTCGTGCAACATACATCTCGCGCGACACATATGTAATCTCACCAATGTCTCACGCGACACAAAGGTAGCCCCATTCATGTCTCGTGCGACACACAGGTTACCCCATTCATGTATCGTGCGACAAACAGGTAGAACCACTAAAATATCGTGCGACACACAGGTAGCACCACTCATGTCTAGCGCTGTATATAGGTAACCCATCGTTTTCCTCTCCAAGACGCGTGGTCAATATTTACATAATGATGGGAATGTGGTTAGTAGTATGAAAATGGAAATGTTGGTCATCAGATGAAACTCGTTTAAAATGGCATCCGCCCACGGATCAGCCATTTCCGGTCAGCTCGTTATTTCATTCCCCGACTATTACAACGTATCATCATTTGTATACAACATACTACTTACTATCCAACGTTTCCATGCCAGAGAGGGCGGTTTATCCGCACATGATACAACTCGTACCCGGGTGTTTCTATCGATTGACTCGTCGCCACTTATCATCCACCTCCCCAAATAACTTCAAACCAAACAAGGTTGGTCTATCATTTATGAGAGATAACAGGAGTTATGATTTAGATACCTCCGGAGGTAGTCTTGCTCAGGTCCTCTGGTAAAGTAAATTAAATGTCCTATTGCTTTTGAAGGGCGAGAAACCAAACAATCAATACACATGTGAATTCATACTATACATTGTCTTTATTGCAGGGAAACACTATTCTTTGTTTCTCCTCGATTAATCATGTTTCACTCGGTAGTAACAAAAAATCGTGATTCCAAACTGCAAAAGCAATTGTTTAAATGAATAAAAACAACAACACAATAGTAAAGATGATCAAGTTGACGCGCCATTGCTGTTTTCTGCTTTTGTCATTCGGAACTTTCTAAGCTCCGAATAAGGGAAACCTGAGCGCGTGAGGGTGACATGATGTTTTATTAGCACCTCATGTGATCAGTTTCATCCAAACAGACACACTGTTAGTATATAGGAGTTATAATACTATAATTTATATAGACAGTCACTCAAGTCTTGTATATAAAATCTATAGCGGTGAGTGCATTGAAAGAGACTCCTTACAATCTAACTGAGCTTCCTTACATCTCTAAATGATTACTTATTGATACCTATATAATATAAAAAACTGATAAAAAATAAGACCCTTTTTTATTTCAAATAACAAATAGTTGAGAATTCTCACGTGCTGGTCCTAAAAATATGCGTGCACCGCTAATGATTTTCTCTTATCGTATACACTGCTTTCCCGCTAAATAACCATGGAACACTAAGCAGTAATTAATTGTATTAGCCCTCTGAGTCTTTGCTGACCAACTGGTCGTTTACACATGACAACAATATTTTCTTCCTGGTCCCCGTTGTCGTGTACAGACGCCAACAATATATGACGTCTCATCCCCGTTGTGTTGTACACACGACAAGAGACTTTCGTGGTACCTGTCTTCTAATTAACTGGTTATAGTACACGCGAGTCGTGTAATCAATTGAATTGTTGCTAAAATCAGCACCAATCAGTTGGCAAGAAACATTTTTATGGGGCAGAGTACAAAATTTGTTTTCTTTTGAACTGTTGTTTTCGAATTTGGCGCAAGATGTTGCGCTTGGTAGTCTCGAATATGAGCAATATGGCGGTGACTGAATTAGATACGAACAAGTGTAAATTCATCACCAAATATTTATTGAGGGTTATTGACGTTATTATTGATATTCGCATATAAATCACGATAAAGCCTGTTTGTATTTAGAAACCTAACGACTTCATACCTTAAAATCAATCCCCGTTGGAAATGCGCACCACAACGCAATGCATTGTATAGTTCGTTGCCGGACAAATGTCGATTTCTCAGTCATAAACAGCTGCCAGTTTGTCATATGGCTGCGGAGATGAAGATGCATATGTCTAGGAAAAACAACATAAAACAATAACAACATCGGCTCACGTTTACCTGTTTATTAGGTGCATCAGGTACACGTCGTGTCAAAAGTACATTGATAATCCGCCATTTTGTTATATGGGCGGGGGTGAGTCTAGTAAGGACTTGGCATGAACAAATCGCTATTCCTTTTCAAAGTGCGTACAGGAAGGGATTCTCATTATCTTATGTTACCGTTTTACGTGGAATTCTCCAAATACTCAAATTCGATACGTACCCATTAAGTAATAAAAGGGACACTGCTTCATAGCTCTAAACACCATTACGACAGGGGTCGCCCTAATTACATCCCTGTGTTTACATATCTAATAACAATTAATCCTTATTCTAAATAATATCATTCCATTTTCTTCATTAGGCAACTTACTCATTGAAATAAATAACAAAACAAAAACTCTTTTGGATTTAGGATCATCACTACGTGAAAAAAACGTTTGAGATACAAAAAGTCAAATTGAAAACATAAGAAGAACTATATATATAGCGTATGGTACTACTACAGAGACTGTGATAGATTCGAAGAGTATGTTTGGGTCTCTGTTAAATATTTAGACTATAAAAATAGGAAATACTCTTTTTTATTTTTGCGCAGGAGGAATAAGACTCTTTGGTCGATTGCAGAATTAGCATCATCGCTCCCAACAAACCCACTATCAGCTGTTTAAGTACTCAAGTATTCCAATGCAATTTTAATGAATCCTTTTAGTGTTAAATATTTACATTTTCAACTGAAACCGTTCGACTACAAAGAGATGCTAAAAAGACGAAAGGTAAGGTCAATATTCTATCCCTATATTGATGTTTGTATATGTTTTAAGCAAAATCATTCCTTAGACATTTAAAATATCTCTAAATATCTAAAATAAATAAAACCCAGTACATGTACCATTCAATCAATCCATATCCTCACACCAGGGCCGCTTAGATTTTTCGCGATCCAAACGGTTTGACCAGTTGGACAAGAGTTGTCTGTATTTGAAATAAGGTCAGATCTAATAATCTGATGCTGCATTTAGTTCTTGACAAAGCCTGCGTAAACACTTGCCTGCCCGCCATGATTTATAGATTGTGTGGATAAAATTTCACACGAAATCAGCGAAATTACAATCCCCAGGGAAATAATTTATTTCACAATAATCAAATATGAAGGTTCACTATCAGGATTATGTTTTTAAATGCTTCAGTTGGCATCCATAGCAACATGAATGTCAGTTGGAAATAGGAAGGTTACAAATGGAAACTAGCTACTAAATTTTTTCAATTCTTGAAAAAAACTAATCTGACAACAAAATATACGTAATCGGAGTTCAGTGTTTAGTGATATTTTGTGTATGCGTCGTATTGTTCAATGATTAGAATAGCCAGGTATTAAGTGAGTCATATCCAACGTTGCAACTATGACGTCAACAAATTGGGTAATGACATTCATAGCTGTTATGAATGTCATCTGAACTTGGTAGGATTATAATCCGTCTTTGCGTATTGCAGAGGTATCTTCTCTTGTGAACAGGTATTGATTGTTTCGTCATTTGTTTGTGAGAGAAACGTCATCAATTTTCGAGAAAACGACGTAATTTTCTCACACAAACCAATGACGTAACAATCAATACCTACTCACAAGAGAAGATAACTCTGCAATACGTAAAGACGGAATAGTGGTTATGTCATCCACTCTTCTATGCGTGCCCTCAGGTACCTCTGATAGCATGGCCAGCTGTTGTTTTGATTTCCCATTAACACTGTTTTCTAACAATAACAGGTGTTTGTGAATGTCATATTCCCTGAGTATTATTAAATTTATTACCTGCGGCGAATATTGTGAAGCATGTGCTGTTGCCTTAGTATCCCATCTATAATGCCATATTTACAAACTGTTACATTATACAAACATTGCTTGTAACAAAGGCCATTGTCATTGGAGTGTTACGAAACGCATACTTATGAAATCAAGATAGAACTGAGATAGACAATGATAATGAAGTTTACACCTGCTTCAATTCAACCAAACAATAACCACTAATATATGTTTTGTGTCTATTCTATGGTGATATTATTCCCACAAAAACTGTGTTCTCTGCGGCAAAGAGGACTCCAGGTTGTGCACCATGTTACAGCGTGCTAGAATGGATGTTGTATTTTTCCATTGTGTTCGGTGTTCACCTGATGCACTTGTACCTTAACAACACTAAGATAATAAAAATAAAAAATATTACAAACACTTTGATATTTATGTACAGTTAGTGAGAAAGGGTTAA